TACATTGTATATATATTTATAGAGAGAGAGTTTTTTCTGTGCACCTAAAAATTGATTTTGCACACCCAAGCCTCAACAGAGACTTTTAACTGTATATTAAGAAGATATCCTTTTTACTTCTGGGATGGAAGTATTGTTTTGGGTGGTTCTGATTTGAGCCTAGATTTGTATGTTTTCATTTCTATGTGAGTGGGCGGAGATTAGGTTTTACTTGATTGACAGGGTTTAGACCCTGTATGCCCTTGGTTTAAGTATGTGGTCACCAGAAACGTAAACTATGGTGAGATATTGGAGTAGGTTTCATGATGCAATCGTATGAGTAACTAGAGAAGTAACATTTGCAAAGCAAATGCATAATGTTTACCTTTGGACATAGTCTGCTCTGTTAATTCTTACTCAAAAACATTCATATACATGTACTACTAGTATATGGTGACAGGAGCAGGGCAGACCATGAAATTGCAACATTATGTAACCCAACACCAGTCACCATGGTGACAGACGTCAACAAATCATGTCATTGGTCAGGTCAGAGGTCACTGTTTAGAGAAGAAGAAGAGGAAGAAACTAAGCAAAACAATATGTTTTCCTTCGGTAAACATAATAATGCATTCTATGATGTTAGTCATTAATGCAATTTTTACTTCCCAGAAGTTTAAAATCTGTGATTTTTTGTTATGACTAAATTGCGTAGGTTGCCCAAGAGACCACCAATGGGAACAGTAACCCTGCTCTGTGGAAGTATGTCCAGCCCCAGGGACAGGTACTGGAGTGGTTAAGGAACATCGTAGCCAACAGACTGGCCAACAAGGCCATGGACTGGGCTAACATATTCAAGAAGTACAACAGTGGCACGTGAGTTAGGCACTTCTTCTCACCTTTTTTCACACTTAGGCCATGTTGATTCGATTATATGGATGACATCGTAGCGCGCATGAATTTTGGCCGTTTCCAAAAAAAAAAAGAAGTTTTGAACCATACTGTAAATCGTAAAAAACAGTTGCAAAATGAGCAAATATATGCTAAAAGAATATTTAAAAACGATACCAATGTCGTAGAATGCCAAAATCAAACAAAAAAGAGACGAAAATGTAAAGAAATGAATTTGAAGAGTAGATTAGTCGCTAAACTATACTCTGTGTCATTTGTTCAACCTTCATGACTATGTAGATTTCATAATGAAAGGGACTTTTTTTTGCAAAAGTTTTTTTTTTTATTCGCACGCTCGCATCAGTTTTGGGGTTCCCAGAGGATGCCACCCATATAATCAAATCAACATGGCCTTAACACTGCCAATATCTGTGCAGTAGTTAGGCAGTATAATTATTGGGTCCATCACTTGAATCATAGAGTTAGGCAGATTATGGAATGTTTTATCTGTATGCCTGTGTTTTGCCTAACTGATAAGTTAGCAATTTGAATGTGACTGTAGTTCCTCTCTGTTTCAATACATTCAGATACAACAACCAATGGATGATAGTGGACTACAAGGCTTTCACTCCAAACAAGTACCTACCTGAGAAAGGACTACTTGTTGTACTGGAACAATTGCCGTAAGTTTGATGTTTTTTTGTTTTTTTTGGTTTTGCGTACCTGGTCATCACTCACTCCAGTTTTGTATAGTAAGGCCCTGTTCATGATTCAAAATCTGTGGGGTTTTGCGCCAGATGCGTCCGGGGCACAGCCTATGGGGAGGACATGAGTCAGGAACAAGTGACCACTCGCCCGAACAGGCGTAAACTCTCCGCCTTACGAGCCTGGTTCCTAGGAAATGTTCAAAGAAATCGTGGTATACATATGAAATGCAAGTCAATTCAAGGTGAGAAATCGTTTCCAGTGTGGGTGCAAGTTTTGAATCAAGGATGCAAAATATATTCCGTATCAATTCGGATCGTGGCCGTACCGAAACACATTTTGAATCATGAACGGGGCCTAAGTACAAGCTGCCAAAGACCAGACAATAAGGTTTGATCCACTCACACTGGGATAGACTAAAAACAGCAGAAAAGATTTGGGGTATCGGACGGAACATTTCAAACTTCTTTTGCTAAGTTGTTTTTTAACTGTTGTTTTGTTTGTTTGTTTGTTTGTTTACAGAGGCATGGTGGTTATGGATGACGTGACGTCAGTCCTGGCGAAGCAGGCCTACTGGCCAAGCTACAACACACCGTAAGTTTTCTAGGAGTACATGTACATGTACCATGTTATCAAGAAGTAAAGCTTTTGGTGCCAAAAAGCTACCTTAGCAGGCTGAAGGTTAATTCTGTGCATGCAGCTACATACATTTTTGTAGGGTTGTAATTGGACCTCACTTCAGAGTCACCATGGAATTCAATAGAATTTCCTATTCAAAAGTCAAGTTCGTTTTTTAACCTTCTCTCTGCCACCTAACCCCAAAGCCAGCAAAGAAGTGGTAGCTAAATGGCTACTTTAGTATGCTGAAGGTTAATATCACAAAATTGAATATTTTTATCCACAAGAACCATTTTCTAACCTTGTAGAGAGTTAAACAAAGCAGGTTCTGAAAGAGTTTTGACTGTATTTGCTATACAGTGAAATCTGTATTTGTATCTTCAAGCCAGTATAACCGTCCTTCGGCATGACGCAGCAGCTTCGCAGGCACGCGGCACGGCGGCAGCTGGCTACATTACACCAAAAGACTTGTTACACCTACATGTAACCCTTGCACATCTAACTGTAAACGTTGTTTAAAGCTATATATAATTGATGATGCCTCTACTGTACTTGGTGGCAGCGAGTTCCACTCTATGATAGTTCCAAAGAAAATGAGATGGTTAACTCTCTGATCTTTTTGTTTGTATTTCTGATCAGTTATTTTGAAAAGATCTTCAACGCCAGCGGGATGCCGGCCATGGTTGAGAAGTACGGAGACTGGTTCACGTACGAGCACACGCCGCGGGCTAACATCTTCAGGAGAGACCACGAGAAAGTCACCGATGTCAGCTCCATGATCAAACTCATGAGGTAAGGGAGAAATCACTCTTATTTTACATCAATTGTAATAATATTAATACTGGTTTATTGAGTCAGAGAGAAAATATCACATTCTAAATGTCTGTGTGGTGTGTGGCATCTGTGTGGTGTAATGGATACAGAATCCGACTGTCAAGCAAGGGGACCCAGATTCAATCCCCAGGGTTGGACCCAGAGATGTCCGGACATGTACCCAGATGTTGTGCCCTTGGGACTTAACACGTATTTCCCCCCTCAGTTAGAGGGTTCCTGGGCCCTACTAGGGTTTGGCCCTGTTGGGTTTGGTTTGGGTTGGTGTTAGGAAGGGCATCCAGCCATAAAAAATTTGGCTTCAAAAAAGACTTTTGAGACCTTTGTGGGACCTTTGACCTAACTACAAAGGACCCCTTCCCTCTCTGCAATGGGCTCTTAAACATGCTCAAAGTGTGGCTGTCCTGAAACACTGTAATACTGGATCTAACCCAGGAAATGGCGGTACAGTTGTACATGTGTAAGAAACAGGAGAGAGTAGAAACAGATAAAAACCCCTGGTCCCGGGCCGGGGTTCGAACCCACGACCAAACCCGGGCACCAGTCCACATGCCAACGCTCTAACGGTTCAGCTAAAAGATCTAGACCCATCGGCCGGGTCAGTTGGTAGTGCCTATAACCCCACCCCCCCCCACTGTTACACATGTACAGTTCACTTCCACATTACCCTTTCAATGACCTGTAAGTGAAGATTGATCTGCAATAAACATGACCAGCTTGTCTGTGGTAACTGTGCAGGAGTTCCCTATGGGACTGCGATCTATTAACCTCTAGCTGACCTCTACCTGTGTGCCTAACAAGACATCTTTACGACCATATCGTAAAAGATCACTTCTGCAATTGAAATGCCTTTAGGAGTGCGTCATAGCAAGTTAGGAGTAGCTTTAGGTGGTCACAGTTAATCAAGTCACCAGGCGAGTGACCAATCGAAGATAAAGGTATTTGTACTGAACCGGTGACCAAAAGATAAGGCACAAAATGTAGATGCCACAGTTTTAAAGGACACACTACGCTCACTCTATAGTATGTTTTCTTAACAATAAACTTTTATATGCTACTACGTGGCATTGTATTCTTACAGTTACATGTAGGGCGATTTTTGTGGTTCAGTCATTTCTTTTTTGGACACGATAAACTGGGATATGAAGAGGGGAAAATCGTTGTAAAACGTTATGAGACCATGACAATCTGTGCACACAGAAGAATGTATACAATGTACAATGCATCTAGGTTTATTTGCAATGCATATCATGATTGTGATACATGTATGGGTTTCTAGGTATCGCAATGTGCAACCAGACATGGGGGCCCGCATGCCTTTTTCCGTAGAACATAATCAGCTGTTTCAATTTTACGTAGAAGGTATATGTAGACGGACCGCTCTAATTCAATGTAGAGCGTAATTGGCGCATTTTGGGTAGAGCGTATTCGTCTTTTTGATTCTACGTAATGCGTTATAGCCACTTGGAATTTAACGTTAAACGTAATCGAGAAGTTTCCGAATTCAGCGTAGAGCGTTGCGGGGACCCCCCCATGGAGGCCCCCAGACATGTTTAGGGACTTGCAACCAAATACGTTTCTTTTTACCTCCGTGTACAGAGGTATTGTTTCGGATGTGTTTGTGTGTATGCGTGTTTGCCTGTGTGTCCGCACAGTTTGATTGACAGTGCCTGGGTGGAATTCCCTAACCACAGGCCACAAAAGGTCAGACAGGGAAAGTTGGCTGGGAGTCTGTTGGCATTATGCCAGTGCAATCCCTTATAAATAGAAATTGTTTTATTGCAAATTCATGCCCGAGGGCTAATTGCAAGTACAGAAGAAACATTTGGTATAAGAACAGGCAAATGAATACACAAAGAACTACTGATAACTTCCTAAAAACTACTGGGTTTGGCTTCCTTTTCGAAGACAGACAAAGACAAAAGATCCTATTTTTTCTGTAATTTGAGGGTTTTTGGATGTGAAGAGCGAAGTAGACTAAGTTTTCTTTTCATTTGTATATTTTCGAAAGTTAGGGTAGAATTTGGAGGCCGCGTCAAAAAGTTCATTTCGTTCATTGCTATAGAGAGTACAATTTGAGATAAAATGCGTTTTGTCTCCCACCATATAAGATGTACAGTGTTTTTTGCGAATTTGTTCATACACTTGGAACTTACATGTCTGAACTGGGTCCATATACCAAATTCAGTTCTAATGGCTAAGCTTAATGTCTGACTTTCTGTGGGTATTTGGCATTATAGAGTCTGAAGACACTAACAGCTAGAGAGCCAGGATTTCATTCACAGCAATTAACATTCCAGAAATTCACCAGAATTTCAGCTTATTTTGACAGACTTTCCTATCAAAGACGAGGCGAGTCAGAGGTAGCATTCTAATGTGATGACATCATTTCTAGAACAAAAAAAGACAGTTGACAGCAGTAGACACTACTATAGGCCACCCCCACTGCAAAGGAATAATGTTAAAGGCAATAAATCAAATTTTTGGGCCGCAAAATAAAAAATGTTCTGTATACATTGTACATGCAAGGAAATCTGTCTGATATTGACATTTACTGTAATTTCTTAGCACATTTTCTACCCTAGGAGTCCCTTTATTTTTGGTACCACTCCTTAATAGCTAGAAACAGCAACTGATATGAAATAAGCAACCAACATATGATATTGACATGTATATGAAATAAGCACAAAGCAATAGAGAATGACCAGAAGATTGACATTGAAAATCCAATTTTGAAACCCTGAAATTGCTTTCAATCTGGATGTCTTTAAAAAACATACAATACCTGCCTAGTACATGTATATCAAAAGTTTCAAGCAAAGCTGCATTTTATGAAAAATAATACTATAAACTTATGAATTGTACCACAGCTGCATATAAGAAAAGGGCATGTCTTTTATGTAAGTATTTCCAAATAAGGGGTGCTAAAATGAAATATGATTATGATGATGTCTTGTGCTTACGTGATACTGAGCACAGACCTGCTTTCTGCCTAGCAACTAGAGATTTTTATAGCATGACCAGACAGGTGGTCCTAATGTACATAATTCATGGTAATTACCAATAATGGCTGCTTCATGTCAGGTCTGGTGTTTATTAATGAGAAAACAAGCCAGCTGGTCATGTACCTGTACCTGTGATCATGGTACTCAGCACGTCGGCAGAACGTACTGCACCTGCGCAAAACCTGTAATGTATTGTGCAAATACTTCGGCAGAATGTCTCATATAAGGTTGTATTCGCGCATATAAGGAAAACATCCCGTCTGTAGTTTTCAAATGTTATGTCGAAAAAAATATCCTCTGCAACAGAAAAAATTCTAATGCAACGTTGACCAAAAATCAACCGAAAACCGTGAAAATACAGGGTTCTGCGCATGCACAATACGTTCTGCCGACGTGCTTGATGATGGTACCCAGCATGTCGGCAGAACGTACTGCACCTGCACGAAACCTGAAATGTACATGACTGTATTATGTATAATACATGTATATACATGTATATAGCACTTCAGAAGAAAGTCTCATATAAGGTCATATTCGCATATAAGGTTGACAATTCCAGTCTTCAGTTTCCAAATGGTATGTCATTAAAGATATCCTCTGCAACAGGCATAATTCGAATGCAACAGTGACCAAACAATCTAACAAAAACTGCGAAAAATCAGAGTTTTGCACGGGCGCAGTATGTTCTGCCACAGTGCTATGGTACACGTACTCCTCTGATTATTATGTAAATTTCAAATGGTGGAAAACTGAGTCTTTAAGGCATGCATAGCCTGACTGAACCTCGCTTTTTGTGGGCTCCCTAGTAGTTTTGGGTGGCGGACTATGTAGGGAGCCCCCCGGAGCTTGGGTTTCACAGGTTAAGGCATGCAATACAATTTCAGGGCAGCAAAACTGGATTTTTAAAGTCAATTTTCTGGGCATTCTTGTAGTAAGTTGAATCAACCCTGTCCCATAGCATACTGATTTGCAAGAATGTGATGTTTCTGATGGAAATGGTGGCTTGTTTTGTATTGGAGGCTGGAGGCTATTTATTGGTGGTACCCAAAAAATAAAGAGACGCCTCACATTGCTTGTTTTGGGGCCATTTCATTTGCTTCAGTATCAAATGTGCTAAGAAATTGCATTTAGCAGATTTTATGACCAGTGACAATGTTTAAATTTTACTGCTAGGCCATGTTGATTTGATTATACATGTATGGATGACATCCACACGCGCATGAATTTTTGGCCGTTTCCAAAAAAGAAAAGTTTTCAACCATACTGTAAATCGTACAAAGCAGTTGCAAAATGAGCAAAATAAATACCATAAGTTGCAAATTAATATTTAAAAACGATACCAATGTCATAAAATGCCAAAATCAAACAAAAAAGGCAAAAATGTAAAGAAATGAATTTGAAGAGTAGATAATTTACCATACCATACTCCATGTCATTTATTCAACCTTTATGACCACGTAGATTTCATGTCTTGATGAAAAACTTTTTTTTGCAAAACGTTTTTTTTTATTCACACGCTTGCATCAGTTTTGGGGTTCCATCATCATCATCATCAAGAGGATGTCATCCATATAATCAAATCAACATGGCCTTATCAAAGTCAAGAGAAGCTCAGGCAGTCATATAAAATCTTTCACCTTACTCATGTCAAGTACTGTGTGTACATATGTGTGTATTTTATGGATTATAAATCTGTCAATAAGAGAATATACAATGCACACCACAAAATGAAAAGTCTGGAGCACGTATGAAGGTTAACTTTATGTTACCTCTTGGTATACTGTAAACCTTTAAATGTTCACAGTGGTTTTATTTTTGCCATGACCTCACCACTGCAAATGCAAGAATATGCGTTCCTGATATAGTACTTAGGCCACAGCAAGTAATTTTTATGGATGACATCAGCGCGTGCATTAATTTTCGCCTGATTTTGTGGAAAAAAAACAAGAAATTTTG